GATGTGTCTGTGTGTGTCTGCGCGTGTGTGGGTGTGTCTCTGTGTCTGTCTGGCTGTCTGTCTGTCTGTCTGTCTGTCTGTCTGTCTGTCTGTCTGTCTGTCTGTCTGTCTGTCTGTGCGTGTGTGTCTCTCTCTCTCTCTCACACACGCACACACACACACACACGCACACACACACACACACTCTCTCTCTCTCTCTCTCTCTCTCTCTCTCTCTCTCTCTCTCTCTCTCTCTCTCTCTCTCTCTCTCTCTCTCTCTTGCACGCGCACGAGCACGCTCGTGTACACGTGCATGATATCCTGTTTCACCTGAGCGCCGGCTTGGTTTGCGTTTTGGTGCCGGAACAGAACCGGTGTCAATCGCATCAGAACCCGGAGTGGCGACATGTGCCTGGCGTTGTTGCGTCGTGGCTGTGACTTGTGGCCCAGTCCCTGGGATACACACCACACATGCACATGCAGCGGAAGATGAACGCACATAGACACAGACACACGAAATCATAGAGGTACGTACATCGACACACGCACTACATGAAGGCTGTTCGTTGTGAGGCAACAGACGCAAGGATGGCAAGTGCGCACCGAGGGTGTCGACTGAGTCTTCAGCGGAGATTTGATCGGGAGCGGTGTGGATGGACGCCATCGTTGGAGTGGAGTGGTCGATGAGGCAGTTGGCGAGGCAGTGGTGAGGAAGGCAGCAGCAGCGCGCGGTAAATCGCAGAACGATTTATTCCAGTCAGACACGTTTTGCGGTGTTCTTTTTGTTTTCCCTTCGGATGAGGTGGAAGCAGCTTCCGGTCCGTTGCAGTTGTCGTTGTGGTTGTCTGGCTGTTCCCTTGTTTCATAAGCACGACTCGGGGGTCTTCAAGTAAAAGACTTGTGTCGCAGTGACAGCCCTGTCTCTTGCGTCTCCCATCCCTTGCCCACTTTCTCCGAGGAACACGCTCACGTGGCTGGCGTGGCTTCATTAGAATGTACTTAGCAATGATGTGTTTCTTTTAATCCGCAAACACTCAAATCAACGAATACAACGCAACAACGCAACAACGCAATTTGATGAATACCTCATCTGCTACTCAAAGTACTCAAGCACTCTCTCCTCGTCAACAGTCCGCCCCCCTCCTGAACAGAAGAAACAGAAACACGTCCTCTCATCTTTGAACACTTCAAGCCCAATAACGCACCCCCCCCCACACACACAACACACAAATACACAAGCATCACTTCAACAGAGTTCGCTCATGTCAAGTAGCAAGTGCTGTCTATTCCCAGTCCCTTCGACTTGCGCCTCTACGACAAACTCGTCCTCTTCCTCAACAAGATACCCTCGATACGGGCTGTCTTTGGCCAACTCAGCAGCGACCTTTTCCTGCACATCCTTCTGCCCATCATCACTCAGCACGAAATCACCCCTGCGCACGGGGACCATTTGGCTTCGTGCTTGCGGAAGATGCACGCGCTTAAAGTACATGTCAAGTGCTTTTGGCAGCTCAAGCGGCGACGACACTTCGATGAAGCGGGTGAACGCGCGCTGCGTGGACGTGGGCACCGTGCCAATCACAATCTGCACCGCGTCAATGCCGAGGGCAGCGGCGTACCGCAGCGCGGCCTCATGCTGTGGATCTGGCGTATCGTCCGTCAACACAAACAGCGTCGACGTCTCAACACTCGCGTCGTTGTCATTCGCCTCCGTCAACAGCTCCACGCCAGCGGCGATGGCGGCAGCCACGTTCGTCGACTGCTGCGCAAACCCAACAGTTGCCAGCGTGCGCACGATGGTGCTCAGCGCTGTCGCGTCCACGTGCTCTGTGCGATCCTTCATCAGCGTGCACGCGCTCTCGCCAAACCCGTACACAATTGTGTCATGCAGCCCAAATCGCTTGAAGGCCTCCAGCAGCAGCACCAGGGACTGTGCATTGAAGAAGGACGTTGGCGTGTCACCGGTGGATGCGCTCATGTCAATTGCCAGTGCAAAGCGGTAGGCTGGCCGGCCCTCAGGCACGTAGCGTTCCCAATACGCAGTGGAGGTGAATTGGGTCGCCTTGCATTGCATCAGCTTGGCTGGGTTGACGCTCTTGCCGCTGGTGAAGCCAGCCTTCTTGCGCATGGATGCACGCTTCGTCAGGTGCTGCTTCAGCACATCTTGCACCATGTTCACTTGCTGGCCGTACTTCTGCAACGTGTCCGTGTACCACTGAGCTGAGTGTTCACACGGGGTTGCGGCGCGTCGATACATCGTGTGGGTCACACGCATCTTCCGCAGAACATCCGAACGCAGCATCGGCGCCTTGCACTTCTGCGGTGGAGCACCAAGGGCCTGCACGCACACATTTGGCGGGCGGTACGGCCCTGGCTTGTACGTGTCAATCCACCGATCGCTGGCCAGCTCCTGCAAATCAAGCTCAAAGGCTGAGATGCGTCCGTTGACACCCAGACGCACGCGGTTGCCATCGAATGGAGGCTGGCGTGACACAACACCCTTGTGCTGCCTCAGCTGCTCCTCCAGCACCCGGCACAACACGCTGGGCACCTCCACGCTCATGCTCTTCAGGTTTGGCTGGGTCCATGCCAGCCCATGCTTGGCCAAGCTGCGCAAGTCGCTTCCACCCATCGCCGTTGAGCTGCTCATCTCAATGCCAACAACCTTCACGCCTTCTGAGGTAGCTTTCGACAGCACCTGCGAGAACGCAGAATGGGCCTGCCCCTCCGCCTTCAGTTGGCTTGACAGACCGTCTGTGATCACCACCATTGTCTGCGGATACACGGCTTTCCCACTGGCGGAGCGCGTGCGTCGACGCTCAGCCAGATGCGCGCGCGCACAGTGCATTGCATCCGCAATTGCAGTGCCAAACTGGTTGAAGTTGAGGCGCAGCAGCACTTCTTCACCCTTCTCACAGGACATGGCGTGCTCAAACTTCTTCAGCCACCGCTCCTGGCCCTTCCCAGCAAACGAAAGGACCGCAGTCTTCAATTCCAGGCGCCGCAGTGCCTCCAACAGCACCACCAGTGTTTGGCGAGCTTGGTTGCCGCACCCGCCTTGCATGGAGAGCGAATTGTCGACCAGAATGGCCACCTCAAGATGCACCTCCACACCGCGAACGTGTGTTTGCATGAGCAGATCCAGCACCTTTTGCTGAAGGGACAGGATGTTCATGTGGTGCGCACGACACAGCCGGCCAAACAGGGACTCCTGAAACGAGAACCCATCCTTGAAGTCAATGTCTTTGACCGTGGTCACATGTCCAATCTCACGATCGGCAGAGAGCGCGGCAGGTCGGAATCGCACTTCCCCGCTTCCACGCCGATGCTGGAACTGCTTTGTCGCAGCCATGATGTCCTCTTTCGTCAGTTTGACCTTGCAAGTGACCATCCGCTTTCTGTCTGATGATGATGAGGTAGATGAGGTGGATGCGCTGGTCTTGATGATGGCGTTTGCCAGCATCGAAGAAGAAATGCGAACACCATCAGCGTGCGCTGGTGTGGCCACATGGGCACCAGGCCTTGATCCACCGCTCCCGTCACCGCTGGACCTGTGATCACCATCGCTGTCGCCAGGTGTTGCACCCTCGTCAAAGATGAGCTTTTTGAGACTGATGCTCATGCGATCAACGGCATCATCAGGGTTGAAGCCGTACAAACTTGCTGCCTGCGATGCTGTCGTGTTGTCACCAACAATGTCATCATCCTCGTCATCATCTTTGTCCTCGTTGGTGTTCCCAAATGCTGCGGTGAATGTTGTCAAGGTGGACGGCCCTTCGGTGCCCAAAGTCGTGGCTGGAATAGCTCCTGCTGGAGCGGGCGTGGCGGAGATGTTCGACAGCACACCTTCCCAAGGCATGAGAGCGTCCAATGTTTCCACCTCACTCGGAGGTGGCAGTACCTCATCCAGCGCGTCGATCACTGATGGTGGCTGGCCAGACAAGGCGCTCTGAAGCAGCGCTCGAGCATACTCAGGAAGCGTGCCCTCCACAAACTGACCCACCGCAACAGGCACATCCACGTTGGCTTCTACCGCGGAGGTTCGCGACAATGCAAACGCAACGTCGATGAGCGGCCGTGGAAGCGTCAAAATGTGAAGCACGCTGAGCGAGTGCAGCACCTTCACACTGAACTTGAAGGTGCCGGTGGACAGGTCACATTGGGACAGCGCATGCTCAAATGACTCGATGGTGCGTTTGGTGACGGAAACGGCGCTGCCAAAGTCCATCAGGCTCTGACAGCACCGCACAGCAACATCCCGCGCTTGTTCCGAAACATCTGTCGTGCCCCACTTGACCTCGCTGCTGTTGCGCGCCCCCACAATCAACAGAGTCGACAAGTACCAGCACCACACCCTCTGCACGGCAACATTGTGCGGGTCAGAAATGTTGGTTCGCTGAAGGACACGCTGGACGCAGTCAACAACACTTTCCCCTTCGCGCCGGATCAGGTCTGTGGAGGGACTTGCTGAATCCTCCGTGGCCTGGTGTTGGGACTGGTCAAAGCAGCGCATCACATCGAGTGCACCGCAAATGTGCTGGAGTTGCTGTGATGCCTTGGTGCCAGGGAGGACCAAATTCAAGCACTCTTGGGCCTCGGTGTGGCTGTCAATGTCGTCTGAGGTCTCTGCTGCAAGCCCGTCTTCGACTTGTTGCAGCTTGTCCACGACTTGATCTTGCGCTTCTCGCTTTCTCATCCCTGTTTGAGAGTGACCTTGCAGATCTGACTGCTGGATCGTTTCCTTGATGCTTCTGACCAGATCACAAAGTGAACTACGCACCTGTTCGGCACAATTGTTCAGGGTGAGCTCCATTCCCGCAAAGCGTTCATGCATGGGTCCGAAGGTATTCGTTGTGCAATGCGAAAATTGCTCTGCTTGCTGCTCAATCTCTTCAGCACTCAAGCCGCGGGACAACACGACGCGCCACCCAGCTGGAACCACTCCAAGTACCAGCTCATCTGGTGTGAGGTTGAACCAATCTGCGGACTCAGTCGTATCTGGAGTCATACACGTGGCACTGGCGACACGCTGCATCGCTTTGAGCACGTGTGGCAACACATCAGCTGGCACCTTGTGTTGTTGGAGCACGAGGTGTTGCTTGTCTTGCAGTCTTGACATAAGTTGTGTGGCTTCGCCACACAGACCCGCGATTTGGTGGACAAGATCAGCAATGTTGTCCACAACCTGGCCGGCCAGAACACGTTTCAGCTTTGCCCGGAGATCTGAGCATTGCACAGCCGATCGGTTGAACTTCTTCACATCTGCAGCCAGCCCCTTCAAGGCGTCCACCAGCTCATGCGTGAGGGTGCCTTCGAGAGCTGGCAGTTTGAACATTGAACGGAGTTCTCGTCTTGCATGGCGCTGCTTCTCCTCACGCAAACGCTTTCGCCATTCCTCGGGCTTTCGCTGCCAAAACGTCATGTCCACTCCGCAAACATCATCTGAGCTCAGCAACGAGGAAAGCCGGTTGATATCCGCCTCGAGCTCTGGTGGCGTTGGTTGCTGCTCCTGCAGTTCACGCAGTTGGTCAAGAACAGCCGCCAGCTGCTGACGTGCTTCCTTGCCGCCCACAAGTTTCTGACCAAGCAGCTGCAACAAAGCCGAGATATTGTCCTTGAAGACACGTGCGGTTAGAGGACAGCTGGAGAGGATGGTTGAGAGCGCATCGGCCATTGTGGATTGTGGCGGAACGTCATCCAACCACGCTGAAAGCATGGAGGAGATTGCAGGTTGAACGGAGGACATGCCGGCATCCCCGTGTGATGCATAAAGCGTGCACACGCGCACCACCGCAAACATGCAGCGGTACTTGTCCAATGTGTCTTGGTCAAGAGCTTGCAGCATGCGGGCAGACCCAGGAACATCGTCGTTGGCCAGCGTGACGAGGGCATGGTGCAAGCCAATCTTCGTACGCTCATCAATAGACTGCGATGCCCAAAACTCGACAACTGCGTCAGACATTTGATGCTCAGTATCCTTGTTGGCGTCAACAGCCTTGTGCAAGCCCTTGATGTGGGTGATGAGCAAGCCAACTTTGCTCACCCACGCGTCAGACTCCATGTCGTGCCGTTTCAAGGCGGCGAGCGTCCTCACGATCGAGTTTGAGGCCGCCACAACCTTGCGCTGGGAGGAGCAGTGTGTAACAATGGCTCTGGTCATGACATGGCTTGCCGTGCTGTGCCCTGTCAGCGCTTTTCTTCGTCCCTGAAACCGCTCCACTTTGCGCTCGAGGGAAAAGTCTGCATCTCGGTGAGGTGTCATGAGCTGAGTGATGACCTGCTCCAGCATTTTGGACCCTGCGCCGGTCTCAGCTTCCTCAACGAGCGTGACCCTGAGTTTCAGTGCTCCGCCGTCCATGACTTCTTCGCTCTCGTTCGCAGATACGTGGCGCTCTCTCAATAGGAATGCAGGAACAACAACAACGACCGCAGTGTCATGTCCACGCTCGCAAAGCAGCTGCACATCCACTTGTGTGCGCCAGTCTTCAGCCGCAGCGTTCACAACAACCAGGAATGTGTTCGGGGATGACGCTGCAAAGTTCCGGAACACATGCCAGGCGTCTTGGATCTTATCGCTCTCCTCAAAGCCGGCATCAGCACCACCTTCAAGGACACGCTTGGCCTCCATTACGTCAAACTGGTGCTGCGATGGCTGAAGCGCGGGACCGTGCTCTTCCAACATCTCAAACACGCATTGCTTGAGGTCATCCAGCTCTTCCTTGAGCGCAGTCATCTCCTCGTGCAATCCCGCCACTTGGTGTCGCTTCTCCACAAGCTCTGCAAACTCTTCCCCACACTCCTCCGGTGGAGCCAATGCAGGCTCTTCAAAGTTTGACAGGAATGTACGAACAGAGTCGGGAGTGTCGTCATCAAGCTTCTCCGCGACGGCCTTCCTGTACTCTCGACGAGCTTTGTTGAAGCGAGGCCCAAGGATATCCTTCACATCCTCAAACTTGTCTTGCATCAAGTTGGCCTTTGTGATGAAATCCTGGGACAAGAGAGGGTTGGCTTCCTTGCCGCCAGCATCACTTGAGGTGGCCGCGGCACTGACCATTCTGGCAAGCGTGGTTGCTGTGGCCGTGTACTCGTCAGCGGAGAAAGGTATGTCCCTGCGCAGGCAGAGGGCTGCTGCTGACAAATGGATGGTGGCTTTTGGAAGGAACATGCTGAATCGTAGCATGAGCCCTCGGAGCGATGGAGATTGGGCGAGAATGCGAAATACGGACTGGTCTTGCAGGGAGAGTGGCACGAGTTTGGCGCGAACAACTGCCTCCATTTGTGCAATGAAGAATCCAAGCCTTCCTTTGGAGTCAGGCAACGCCGTTGCCATGCGTCGCTCCGCGGCTTCGATGAGTGCTCTGAATCGAGACAGCAGAACCTGAGCACCAACCTCTTCCCTGAACAGTCCAGAAAAAGCAGTCACGTAGTTGCTCAGGGCAGCCACCACTCCTTCAAAGGACGAGACAAGGTCTTGCATGCCAGGGCGCCTGGATAATGTGCGACCTGCGATCACAAGGTGTTGACATGCCTCCAACCACTGTTGCAGCTTGTTGCGCCATTTGTCGCAGTCCTGCAGGGTTGCCACTTGCGGAATATCTGCCAGTGCGCGTTGAAGAGTGCGCACAGTCGCCAACACTTGTTGTCGTGACACAATCTCTACGCTTTGAGCTTCCAGAGCAAGAAGCGCAATGGAGTGCTCGGGATCAGCGAAGGCGTTGAAGAAGAGCTGCGGCTTGTCAGGAAAGTGAGCATGGGACAGCTCCTCCCCGCCGCAGCCCAGGGACTGCATGGCTCTGGCCACCGCCCAGTGACAAATATCCTGTGTGCTGTCGGTTGTGCTGTCATCCTTCATCGCCACACCCGCCATGTGCCATATGAGCGCACCAAGTGTGTCGTCAATTGTTGAGATGGCAGTATCGCCAGATGATACGATGCATGTGTTGAGTGACCTCGGCTCTTCGCCAGGCCAATGCTGGAGCTCGGCCAGCAAGGGCTGCTTGATGACGCCACCACCATGCTGATCGTAGACTTGACGCAGCACAAAGAGCACTGCCTGCTGCAGGTTGGCGTGCGTCACGTGAGGGATGAGGGTGCGGAACAGCTTCATTGCGCGGATGGCTGTTCGGAATGTCACTGCAAACGGACCGTCCGCCTCGGAAGGTAACATTGCCTGCTTTGCTGCAAAGTGGGCGGTCACAAACACGTTTGCCACTCGTTGTGGATAGTCGCATCCAATCTCTGAGATCCACTGGCTCATGATGTGATGCAACGTGTCTCTCTGCTCCACCGCATCGACTGCTGGCAGTGCAACTTCAACAGAGCGCTGGCGCACAGAGGGTGGCAGCGGAACCACGCCTGGTCGGTCTGGGTCATACGTGAGGATAATGCGGAAGTCTGGCGACACCTGCCACGCGCTTGTGCCGTTGGTGGTGTCTTTTGGAGTGTGTGCACCCATGTCAGCGACGTCGTTCTCCAGAAACCCTTGCAGCTGCAGCAAGAAGTCGTGTGGGCAGAAGTTGACATCGTTCAGGACAAGCCACCAGCCGTTGCGGGCAGCTTGCAGGAGAGGCCCATCCCCCGCGTCAAAACACATGTCATCCAGGCGCACAAGCAAGTGGTCAATGGACTCTGTGAACTCATGCGCAGCAGATGAAAATGCTTGTACATCCAGCCCAATCTGTGCGGCAGAGGCCTCGAGTCTGGCTTGGAGGTCTGCGAGTTGCTGATTGATGTCATCCTTCAAGGGCATCGCCTTGGCCACGTCTCCCGCTTGCAGAGCACACACGAGTTTGTCCATGCACGAAGCCAGCTTGGCGATATCGTGGGTAAGTGAAGTTGCAAGCGCAGCTGTGCCCTGAGCTGTGTGCTGAGGTGCGTTCTCCTGCGCACTGAGGACGTGCGTGTTGAGATCAACGAAGATGCTGCACAGGGCGCTGGAGACAGCGTTGGCCAGTCTCTGCACGCGCACAATTCCCATTTCTGCGCGCAGTTGGCCCATGACATCTCCGATCTCCGTTGCTTTCTTCAGATGGAGTTCGAGGGTGGGTGCATTGGCTGCACGGGCGAACCAGCGAATGAGCTGGGTCTTGCCGCTGGCCGTGGGACCACGCATGGTGAGGCTGCGGTGGGCCTGCAGCACCAGCGCCATGTCCTGCAACGTTTTGGCATGCTGTGGTGTGAGCACGACATCCGGTGAGACAGTTTGCCGTGCATCGTTCGCGGGCGTCTCTCGCGTGGTTTGGCGACGCGGAAAGAACACCGACCCCACACGCACGCAGTGCGTTAGGGTTGTGTCCACCACAACTGCCGACTGAGTGTCAGGCGCTGTTTGAGGAAAACACTTGGCCACCTTCTTCAAGGCCAGGTCACGAGCTCGACCTTCAAGGCCGCCCACAAACACCAGCTGTGCCACTTGGGTCAGGACTTGCAGCGCCAGCTGCTGCATGTCTGCATGCAGGCTGCTGTCGTGGTGCCCATCGCTTTCTGTCCGACTATGGTCTAGATGCACGCCGCCATCTTCATCGTCATCTGCGCCTTGCTCGTCGTGTTTCACCCACTGCAGGCACTGCAGTGTCTCGAAGAGCGGTACGAACAAGGTCTTCACTTTCTCCATTTCACGCAGGGACCAGGACGGAAATGCGCCAACCAGATCTGTGGAGTCGTCCTCGCTCAATTCCACCAGTTCACACAATAGACGGGCCAATGGCATGAACAGTTCGTGGCTCACACTCAGCTGTTCAATGTCGCGGAATGCGTGGCAGACCAGTGGATACACCAAGTCAGGGTGTGGGCTGCTCGGCAGGATGTGTTGGAAGGAAAGCGGGGCAAACGCAATTTGCAGTTGATCTGCAACCTTCTCCAACGCTGGAGCAGTCGCGCACACAAGCGGCGACTTTGGCACCTGACAAGCTGTGCTTGTTCTCATTGCAGTTGTTGGGGGTGTTGAATGCTCGCGCAAGATGCGAGCAATCTGGACAGCAAGCTCGTTGTTGATGAGGTGGATATCTTTGAGCACGATGAATCGGTTTGCCTTCACAGCGGTCATGAACGCGCCATCTTCCCACCGGAACGACCCGTCCAGCGCTTGGTGGTAACGGCCAATCACATCCTCGCTCGATGTGGAACGCGCAAACGTGATCAGCGTCACGTTGCTGTAGCCAAGCGCACGCGCCAGTTCTCGAGCACAGGACAGCTTGCCACTTGCCGGTGGGCCCAGGAGAACAGGATATAGTCCTGCGCTGAAAACGCGAGCCATCGCGCGAAGATTGTGGTTGGTGCTCATGCCGGGATACAGCTGCAGATTTGGCGCCACATCTGCGGACGTGTGCACACTTCTGATGCAGAAAGGACCAAGACCGAACACCACACCATCACCGTCAGCTGAGAAGAAATGTGCCTGTTCCAGGATGTGCTCGCCAGGGATGATTTCCAGCTTCTGTGGCTGCTGCGTTGGTGTCGAGGATGCATGCGTTGTTTGTCGCGCGGGAGGCAGTGAATAGAAGCCAACGGGTTGCTTTTCAAACTCCTCCAGTCTGAACTGGAATCGATCTGTCACGACCTTGTTGAGCTTGTCAATTCCCGCGTCATCCAGCCGAGGCGCTATGAGCGCCGCCACAGCGTGAAGAACGCCGTCTTGCACGCGGACGAAGCGGTCCTTGTGTCGCTGCACAAAGCCAATCATCTGGTACGCAAGGCGCGTGTTGAAGGAGCCATATGCTTCAAACACGTCGTTGATGAAGTGGGCAAGCTCGTTCGTCGTATCTGCCACGCTACCGAGGGCGCCTCTGACCAGGTGCTGAAACTCAGTGTTGGTGTACGGCTGCACGTCAATGACTGTGACGCGCGAGATGAGAGCCGGTGACAAGCCGCACTCAAAGAGCCGGCGGTCGGATGTGACGGAAGCGACAAAGAAGAACGACTGCGGGCAGTCGATGTTGCCATACTCGCTTGTCTCGAGCGAAGGCTCCAACTCCAAGAGAGAGTTGAACTTCTCCACAGCAGATGCAGGGGCGCGGTGCAAGTCACGCAGATGCAGCATGCCACCACGCCGCACAGCGTCCGTGACTGGGCCGTCCTTGAATTGGAAGCGCGGGCGCTGGAATTCAGACGAGTGCTGAACATCTTCCTTGAGGAGGGCATCCACACTGTGACGAAGAAGAGCGATACAGGCCGCCAGCTCTTGTTGCATTTGTGTGTGCTCGTCACGGCTCTCGGAAACGGCCAACACAGACGCTGTGATGAACTGCAGCGCTTGCAAGGCAACTTTGTACACCACAACCTTGAGCTTCAGCTCGGAGATTCGCACGTCCACGGCGTTTGTCTGCGGTTCATCATCGGCAGTGTCGTCGCCTGGTGCCATAATGTCCTCCCGGAGCCACCAGGCGTCCGAGCCATCCTGGGGCTTTTCATCCATGATGCTGAGTGATGAGGACGAGCGACGGGAGCTGTGCTCGCTGGTGTCACCACCCCAGCTGTCGTCGTGGCTGCTTACATTGCCTCGTGTGGCACCCGCATCATCATCAGCGCCACCATCATCGCCCCAGTTATCGTCATCATCGTCATCATCATCATCCATATCTGCATCTTCGCTGTCGTCACCCCAATCATCCTCGTCATCGTCGGCATTGCCATCGCCAACACGTTCCGTGCCATCACCCGCTGCGGAGGTGGGCAACGATGACCGCTCATTTGAATCGTCACCCCAATCATCATCTTCGCCATCACTGCTACTATCATCTCCGTTGTGCTCGGTGCGCGTGCTGGAATCACCTTGCTTGTTCGGAGTCACCTGCAAATCGTTGAGGAGTGTCCTTCCCTCTTCCACGAACGATGAAGCAGCAGGGAATACGGCGCCAACTCGCTCGAGCCATTGGCCCACGTCCGTGTAGTTGAGGTCGGCTCTTCCGATGAACCCAGCAGCCGTTTCCAGCAAAGACGCCTGGCCGGTCAAGGATGCATCAGCAGTGCCTTGAGCAGCAAGGATGGTGTCGATGCGCCTGATGACATCGACGGCACTTGCCATCTGTGCGTCGAGTGTTGTTGGCAGGACGCGGCCAATGAGCTCTTCTGCCGTCGAATCCGTTCCAAGCGTGTATGTTGAGAGCGGGCGACCCGTCACCTTGGCCAGCATCTCTACGAGCAGAGTCTTACGGCTCGTGGGGCCAATCAACAGCACAGGCTCCTTGTTTGTGTAGCACTTGCAGAAGCGGTAGAAATCAAGGCAAAACTGCTTGGACTTGAAGCAGGGTGCTGTCAGCAATGGTGCAATGGCAGCTGGTGGCAGCTGTGTCTCGACCCGAACTGTTGACGCTGGATGGCCCTCATATCTGATTTCCACGCAGCCATCACGAGGGAGTGTAAAAGAGCAAACATCGGGGATGGAATCCCCACCCGCCATTACGCTGTGCAATCTGTCAACGTTCTGGCCGTCTTCTTCGTTGGCAAACGCTTTCGTGACCAAATCGACAAGCTGCGGTTGGCCTTGTGATCGCCCCACCAGCAACTCAATGCCGTTCGCAACGGCGTGAGGCGCTGAATCTGGCGTGGCCTGCATGCGGCGTGTCCAGCGACACACCTCACGCACGGTGACTGCCGGGTCTTGCTTGAGTGCGGTGTGCTCACGCATCTGCACCTGCAGCTGAGCAAACTTGCGCAGCATGTCTGTGCTCATGGCGTTTCTTGTGCGCTTGGCAGCAATCTCCGTCAGCTCGTCCTGTGTCAGGTTCTCGAACGGCACGACACACACGCGGTCAGCCAGCTTGCGAGCCAAAGGCTTGCGCCCAGCAAAGCCAACGGGGTTCTGGCAAGCTGCAAGCCAGAAGCCAGGTGCTCTGTGCACGTACTCGCCTGTTGGAAGCGCCAAGCAGCCGCTGTCAAGCACAGGGATGAAGACAGAGAGGAGGGTGGACGTGTTGGCGAGGTTGAACTCGTCGTTCAGGAAGCATGTGCCGCTGCGCAGGGTGCGCACGAACTCTGCCTCTTCAAAGGCAAAGTTGCCTTGCTTGCTGGGGCGCCAGTAGGAGAGGTAGTCCGTGGCTTGCGTGGAATCACTGTTGGTCTTGTGCAGTATCGCCTTGTGCGTCAACCAGTGGACGAGAGCAGTCACGGTTGCCGTCTTGCCCACGGCCTGACTGCCCTCAAACACGACGGGAACGCGTGCCTTGAGGGCGCGCAGCACCTTGTTCGCGTTTGCATACACCCGTGGTGTTGTGTCCTTGTCCAGGACAAAGGTTACCCCACCATCAGGCTGAGGTGACGTTAGCAACGCATCCACATAGTCAATGCTGTTGGGTGGAAGGGAATTGACGAGCTGCTGCTTGAGGACTTCTGCCGTTTTCGGGTGTTGGGCGAGCACGAGCTCACACGCCTCTCGGACAGCGGCTGCAGCCTTGTTCTTGAGTGGGGGAGGTGTAGTACCGCGGGTGAGGTGAAACGCGGCATCAAACAGCATCACGAAGCGCCGCACACTGGGTCGCTCCTCTGAACTGCACCAGACTTGATGTGCCTTTGCTGTCAGGTCACGGACATCACGTGGACATTCCCCATCACCCATTTCATGCCCGAGCAAGAGACGGCTGGCAGCCACAAACCATGTCGATGATTTGTGTGGCGGGTTGAGGTACACCATGTGAAAGCGGTTGCCAAAGGCGGGCGTCATGGCCTTGTTCCTTGCTTCGACAATGGCGACAAAGCGCATAAAGTCGCTGATCTCGTCCTCAGGTATCGGTGAGACTTGGTTGTTCTCGGACAGCACGAGCGTGGGCTTCTCCTCCAAGACCGGGTTGAGCCGTTCGAGCAGAGACGACTGCAGGGAGAGAATGTCATCAAGAACCAGAATGCCGCCATTGCGCATGGTGCGAGGCAAGTGGCCATCGTGCCACCGCAGGTTCATGTCCCCTGTCGCGTGGTCTGTCTCTGGGATGGCCATGCCAATGAAGTCTTGCACCTCCGTCTCCTTTGTCAGGTGGAGGTGGGTGAGGCTGATGTTGGTCATGGCAGACAGGAACCGCACGAGAACCTGTTTGCCAGCGCCGCTCGGGCCGCAGATCATCAAGGGTGTGCGCAGGAGGAACGCCACTGCGCACTCCCGTGCTGCTGTCACCAGCTCTGCTGTCACCACAATTGGGCAGATGTACTGGTCGGGCTCTGGCAGAGAGGACGGGTCGACGTCACGCAGGCGCTGTGCCTCCGCTGCATGCGTGGCATCCAGCGTCTTGCAAATGTCAGCGAGAAGGTCCGCCCGAGCACGGACACAGCGAACGGGCGCCACATACGCATGCAGGAGGGCATGACCCAGCGACCGGCCTTCATCACGCATCATGGCTCGGACGCGATCCACACATGCGTGGTTGACAAAGTCGTAGCAGCCATACTGGAGCATGAAGTCGGGGTGTGTCGCGCACTGCATGATCTTGTCGTGAACAATGTCCACGATATCATGCTCGGGTGCGGCCACCTTGCGCTGGAGTGGGATGCCATCAATGAAGACAGCCTGCGCATGCATCTGCAACCGGCCTTGAGGAGAGGCTCCTGTTGCTTGCGCCTGATCTGCGTTGAGACATTCAAACGCAATCGCGGCAATGCGCTGGCGGGACGCAGCGCACTGGAAGCGGGCACCGTAGATGGAGGAGAGCATGAGCGCAAACGCTGTCAAGTGTGTTTGGAAAGCCTTCGAAGCGGATCCCTTGAGGCGGCCCATGTATGCGCGACAAGCGCTGGCAAAACGCTTGAGCTCGCGCACCGTCAAGTCCATGAAGTGCTGCTGCTCGTACACCTCGCCCTCGTTCTCGATGGCACGAAGCTCTTCGAGGAGCTGTGCATCTGTGATTCGCACGTGAAAGTCCACCAGCTGGCTCGCCAACTTGTCGGAAGACAGACTGTGGTGGATGTCATCAGGCAGAACACCACGAAGGGCACTGGCAGCGATCATCGTCCACTCGGCCTTGCGGGATGCAAGGTTCGAGCCCCACGTCACATCCAGCGGCACGAAGGTACTGAGGACGTTGAGGCTGTGCTTTTCGCGGTTGTATCTGCTGTCGCAAGGGTTCTGGGCGAAGATGAGACGGAAGTTCTTGTGTTTTCGCACGAGGACAGCATCATCACCGCCACTGCCGCTGCCAATGACGGGCAGGGGCTTGCCCGTGTAAGCAGAGGTGCAGTCGAGAATCGAGAGGCCTTTGGCAAAGGGGGCGAGAGAGAGACGGTCTTCAGTCAGGCAGGCCAGGGTCTGCACCAGATCCTCCTTGAGCAGGTTTGCCTCATCAATGTACAGCCAATAGCCAAAGGCATAGGCAAGGATGGCGGGGCCAGGGGCAAGCCCAAAGTGGCCGGGCTTGGTGGGGTCGTTGGTGGCGCTGCCAAAGAGGTCCTCAACGCTGCTGTGTGATGACCCGTTGAAGCGCAGCACGACCTGGTTGGCGAGATGGCCGGCGAAGAGCGTCAGCATCGTCTTGCCCACACCAGTCTCGCCTTGCAGGAGCAGGTTGTCGTTAGTGCGAAGTGTGGACAAGATGGTCTTGAGGTACTGCAGGGTGCGGGTTGTGGGGACCACGCCCCAGTCTGCTGGCGGAAACGTCTTGCAAGCCTGTGCATACGCGCTCGCAGAGTTGAAGCAGTTGCCAAGGATGTGTCCACTGAAGGTGGCGCGCTCGCCATCGCTGATGATCTCGAAAGAATGAGCCTCGCTCGTGTTGTACTCTGCCACAGCATGCTGTAGGCCTTCCTTGAATGCTGCGGGGAGAGGGAACTTGGAGTCTGCGTCTGTGGCGCTGACGTGCAGCTGCTCACTGCGGGATGGAGCACCGCTGTCAAACTCGCCATCATCATCGTTGCCGTCGATGACGGAGGCTGGGTCGTGGGGCTTCACGAGCTCAAACAGGAGGGCGTACGCTGGCGAAGTTCGACGGTCGAACGATAGCATGTGCGTGAGCGTGTGCATGGCTTTGGCGATCTGGTCCTTGATGAGGTTGCGGGTGCGGGTGCGGTTGCTCTGAGACAGCACTTGCAGGGTGTCGACAAGGGCGTCTCCCTTTGCCCACGCTAGCTCGTCGTGCTGAAGCCACTGCTGCATGCAGAATTCGAACAAGGCGGCCAGAATCTTGGTCCTCGCAGTCAGGGCTGGCGCTGCACGGAAGAGGACGTGCCAACACGCCTTGTGCTGCTGCGGCGTGGCTGTGATGAGGGGCAGGCCGGCGAGGAGCCTGTCAGCAATGAACTGCCAATTACGCTGGATCACCTCTTTATCAGCAGAACGGGTGAGCGAGAGCAACAGCATGCACAGGCGCGTGCGCTGCTCAGTCTTTGGGTCAGCGACAGAGGCGTGGGCTGTTGTTGTGGTGGGCGCCATGACAGTTGTATCAGCAGTGGCTGGAGTGTTGCTTGGAGTGGCATGTTCACCATCGAGCGACGTGGCAGCCAGGACCTCGATGATGTGGCTGGCGTGGGCTGGCGTGAACTGGAAAGCACCGGAACTGCCGAAGATGGCCAGGAAGGCAGCGGCACAGTCAGCCGGACAGGCGGTGTGGTCTGGCACGGCTGCAGCAAGCAAGTCGAGGGTCTCTTCCGTTGCGTTGTACATTTCAGAGGGATCACGCTCCACACACTCAACCAGGATGCGTTGAACGAGTTGGAGTCGACCGAGGAGGCGGCGCCTGTTCGACTCTGTGGCAAGGTGATGCAGCGTGGCAGGCTTTGGGCGGATGTGGCGGACGAGGGCGACGAGGAGGCCATCGGACGGGGCGGTGTTGATGCGCAGGAGATTGGAGAGGAGATCCTTCAGGTCGGTAACCTCATGCAGGTCCAGCAAGGCCAAGGTGCTGCTCTTGTGCACAATCTCCAGCACCTCAACACAGACCGTGGAGACTGCCTCTGTGTTGCTGGATTGCAGGTGAAATTGAAGGATGGTGTTTGTGCGGCGGAGAACGAGGTGGTACAGTGTGCTCAAGTGTTCCTTGATGAGGTCGGTCACGCGCTGGATGAGAGCTGCGCGAGTGTCAGCATCCGTTTGAGGACCGCCATTGAAAGTGGTGCTGTCAGTGGTGCTGTCAGTGGTGCTGTCATCGCCCCAATCATCATCATCATTATCGGCAGCAGTGGTGTGATTGGCACCATTGGCATCATTGCCGACACCATCGGTTTGGTCATCGTGGCCAGCACCCCAATCGTCATCGTCATCATCATCATCAGCAGCGTTGCTGAGATCGTTGCTTGGGTTTTTAGAAGAGTCAGGCGAGGAGGATTTGGGCGAGACGAACGTGCCGAGTGCCGAGTCGGGCTGGGGAGTGTCCAGTGCACTGGTGGAGTTGATATGGGGCGTGTGGGATGCTTGAAGAGTGTCAGATGGCGGTGTCGTTGAGGAACCCGCGACGGAGGCTGACAGCTGTAGCGTTGTGTCCACGTGCTGTTGAACGGCTTGGAGGAGACGGGTGCGGGCGATGTTGTCCTGAGCTGGCTGGCACAGCCATTCAGCCAGGCCCGATTCCAGAGTGCCACGAACGGCAGCACAGACGGTTGCAAGGGTCGAGGACTGGAGGAAGGCTTCGTGTGCTTCGGGGTCCGATGCAGCGCCAGTGAGCACGGTGAACGCGCGTTCCCATGCTGACACGTCCAGCAGTTGGCAAAATGCGGACACGTGGGTGTTGCTGACGTTGGTCGAAAACGCAATGGTGCCCAGCTTGTACATGAGGTCCTTGCTTTCGTCGGCGGTGAGGTTTGCGGCGAGGGACTCACGCAGCACGTGGCGAATGAAGTCGTTGAGCTCATCATCGGTTGAAGTGAGAAGGGAAAAGACGCGGGCGAGGGTGTCGGGGCCTGTGTTGCAGTCCAAACATGCAAGGGGCGAGGGAGGAGAAAGGGGTGAGTGTCGTTGCCACGTCATGTGTGAAGGCGCATGCATGTATGCATGCGTGGTGTGTGTGTGTGTGTGTGTGTGTGTGTGTGTGTGTGTCGTTGGTTGCATGGCCATGCAACAGCAATGGCTTGATGAGCACATGCGATGCACGCGCACAGGAGCGCAACACACTGTTTGTTAGACGTGCCTGTGAATCTGCGGTAGTGGTGGGGGTCGGCGACACGCCAGAGCTTGCGCTGGTGCTCCCAGGTCGCCTGGCTGATCTCATCCACGCGATCATCGGTCCAGGTGAATCGAAAGTTGGGCACAAGGGAGGATGGTCCCTGTTCGTGGTGATGGACAATGCAAGGGACGATGAGCAGAACGAGGCGAAATGTGCAAGAGGACGAGGCTATGCAGGCCAGACACAGACTGACCATGTGCGTGCACGCGTGCGTGTATGTACGTGCGTGTCTATGTGTGACAGTGCGTGCCGTGTGACACTGCATGTGCGTGTGCGTGTGCGTGTGTGCGGCAGTGTTGTAGGGCTGTCTCACCTTGCTGTTGGTGTCCGCGGCATCCAGCGTGTGGACGATGCCCTTGTTCTTGTGACGGTACACGTGTTCACGAATCTGGGGTTGGCGCACCGAAGCACGAGCGAGGGTGCGGAGGAGGTCCGGTTGGCGGTGGGCAGTGTCGAGGATGTTCCTGTGCTCAAGCAGGAGCACACAGATTTGGGCGCACAGGTCAAATGACCGGCCACTCATCGTGTCCGGATCAGTGCTTGCGCCCACAAACTGATCGACGACAGTGTTGAGGAGCTGGAGGAAAAGATGCGCTGGCGTCGGCGGCCTCAGTCAAGTTTGCTCGAGCATCCTCGTTGCTGAGCACGGCGACGGCCAGCTCCAGCGCAGCCTCGCGAAGGGTTGTCCTGTGTGTGTGTGTGTGTGTGTGTGTGAGAGTGTGTGCGTTTGTGTGAGAGAGTGAGTGAGTGAGTGTGTGTGTGTGTGTGTGTGTGAGTGAGTAGACAAGTTGCTGAATGACATGTGTCCGACTTGTGATTCAAGCCATGATGAGTGGACACAGTGATGTGAGCACACCAAAGTCAACAAGGTGCCCACAACCGGACAAGGGGCAGTGCAGGAGAGCTGGAGGACACAGGAACACCACATGAACCAAAACATAAACCAAAACACGGATTGCTTACGAGGCAGAAAAGTACTGCGGCAGGAAGCCCAGGCCCTTGACCAGCTTGGACCACTCCGTTTGGCCGGCGACTTTGGCAAAGTTGGCTGCGACATTCAGGACGGCATTGAAGAGAGGTGGAATGCATACCCTTTTCTCCTTTTGCGATTTTGCTTCCTTCGAAGCCTTGTGGGCCTTTCTCCATTTGTTGATGCGGTCCATCGTCTCAATGTTGCTTCAGGCACCAAGGAAGGAATCACAGTGTCAGGACACCAAGCCACACAGCAGTGTCAACAAAATGGAACAGCAAACAAGAAGGTGGATGCACGTCTCCCTCGCATCTGTGTGTGTTAGAAGGCACGACCAATCGTCAACACTTTGCGGACAGCAGGAACAACACGATGACTCAGCCAAAATCGATTCGATGCAACATTAATCTTGCGGCGAGGACAGCCACCCTCCTCATCATCACTGATCAAGGTTTACTCATTCAAACGCACGCACACACACACACACACACACACACACACACACGCACACACACACGCACACACACACACAGAGTTATGTCACACAGTGTCACGCAAGAGCCACCTCAACACAAAAACTCACACCGCCACGTCACACAAGCAACGATACGGGCGGGCAACCACGTCGGTTCAGCACACGACGGTTTGATAGTCACAGTCACGCCCATGCCGTCACAGCATCACATGGAGTTTGGACCGAGAGAGGCCGGCAGGTCTGTCTGCGCCGGGTGGACGTAGTGCTCGATCAGGCGGGTGAGGCGATCAAAGGTTTCGCGCGAGTCGAGGAGCCCAAGCCCGCCGTTGCGGCGCACCATCTCAAACGACACGGCGTTCCCTTCGTGCTGCATTGTCAGGCACGCGTAATTGCCGTGCGCTGACTTGTGCACCACAAAGTCACCCTGGTGTCTCAGTAGATGCTGTTGCAGTTGAAGAAAAGCACGAAAGGGAACAGCGGTGTATGTGTGTGTGTGTGTGTGGGTGTGGGTGAGTTGCAGATGTGAGTCTGGTCACAATTGTGCAGACAATGAAAGTTCAACGACAATCACTAGCCCATGTCCTCAACCACCTCACATTTTAACTTACCCGCACGTCCGCCAATGGCTGCTTGATGCACATCCACCTTCAAGCCATCAACCACAAGAGAACATCATGTCAGTGCGATGTCAAAGTTGCGCACGAAAACATGACACACACGCGCGCACGCAAGTGCACATCACACACAATAGCACACCCAAGTACACATCACACACAATAGCACACTCAAAAACACAAATACATACGCAAACACACACAAACACACAAAACCACACACACAAAAGAGGAACTCACGATTGGCTTGTCGGGTCTGTGTAGAGGCCGAGTTGGCGGCAGGTTCGCTTCACAGCATCCTCGCGCTAATGCAGTCGAGAGACAGCAGCAGCGCATTCACAACGGGGGGGGGGGGAGAGAGAAACACACATAGATAGAGAAGCAAACCAGGGAGAAACGTGCCAGCGTGAGTGATGACGTGTGAGTACAAATTCAATTCGAGACTCGATGTGTGCAGCGGTGGGAGCGGGCAGGATAAGCACGTGCTTACGTTGCCAAACAGGTTGTCGTCGAAGGTGCGGCTGTCATCATGAATGGAGCAGCAAGCGAGAAGCGTGGTCGGGAGAGAGGTGAAGGGCATGAACAAGGACGTGAGTAGACAACCAAGTACAGGGGTTTGCAGCCATCAGTTCACAACATGAAACCAGAAATAGCGTCACGCGCGCACGCATCTTGCAGCAACCGGTGGGCTCACCTGCCGTTGGCGTGGTGCTGGCGCGTGCGGCGGTGCGTGTGCTTCTGGTGCCGCTGCTGTTGTTGCTGCTGTTGGTGACGTCGCATCTCCCGCGAGCTCTGAACCGTTCCGACCAGTGGCAGCTGCAATGGCCAATGGTGGGCGAGGTGTTTCAATTTGTGGGTAAGCGTGTGTATGTGAGTGAGTGGGAGTTCACGAGCCATGTGTATGTATATGAGCGGGGGTGTTGTGGCAACCATCACAAGCGGTAATCGAGACAATGTGTCCTCCACCCCACTCCATTACCCATCCAAGTGGACAATGTGCTGCCATCACCAGCGCACCGTGTTGTCTGTGAAGGACCGCCACTTGAGTGTGCGGTCGGAGCGCATCGCCGTCAGCTCTGCAGAGCGGTCGTCGGCGTGCTGCACGAAGAACCGCTGGCACATCAGGGGAGGGTTGATGAGGTGCACGATGGTGGAGGTAGTGAAGTGCAGGAGTGAGTGGATGATGGAAGGGTGAACAGCAGGCAATATGCACACACAAAAAAGAAAAAAAGAAACCAATACACACTCACGCAAACACAAAAGCAAGATACACTCACGCCCCAACACACACACACATGCATGTGCACATCTTCCACGTCCTCCACGCATTTGCAGCTCACCGCATCGTCGTCCCGGAAGAGCTCGGGGCGGGTGCGTGCGCGCATGGATGCTGCGTGTTGCGATTCGAGCGTCAGTCGCTCCTCCTGCCGCGGGCGCGCAGAGACGAACGTGTCCGAGAGGGAACGCGTTGATGCCGCCCACAGTGGCGTGTCGTACACCACGAGCGGGCATGGCAGCTCGGGCTGCGGCTGCGAGTAGTGTTGCTGTTTGGGGAAGGGGAAAGGGGGCATGTTAATAAGCATACGTGTGCAGATGGGACAGAGTGCGTGTTGGAGGTACATTTGCGAGCAGTGATTTGAAAGAGGAAGGCGCGAAAGGGAAGGGGAGGGGTGTTGGTGGCACACTGTCAAAGTATCACACCAAACCATCATCATCAAAACACCACCACTAACGACAACAACAACAACAACTTAAACAACAACAACAACAACAACAACTTAAACAACAACAACAACAACAACAACTTAAACAACTTAAACAACAACAACAACAACAACAACAACAACTTAAACAACAACAACAACAACAACAACAACAACAACAACAACAACAACAACTTAAACAACAACAACAACAACAACAACAACTTAAACAACAACAACAACAACAACAACAACAACAACAACAACAACAACAACAACAACAACAACAACCCCTGCTCCCCCACCACACACACCGCCCCTTCTGGGTGACGCACCACGAGGCCGTGGAGGGTGGGGAAGCACGCATCGGGATTCTTCTCCAGATACACGCCGTGGTCGCCCATCTCAATGTACTCCTGCACAATCGTGTTGGTGGGATCAACCAGACACAGCACGAGGCTGCTCGCGCAAGAACACACAAGCAAGGGAACGAGGGCATTTGGTGGATGGAGCAGAGCGTGTGAGAGGCGGTGCATACGCAGGCAAGCGCAGGTGATGTGGTGAGCATGTGCACGTCTGCAACACTTGGAAAGGTGACGAGTGTGCCAAACACACACACATACACACACAATTCCTGCACAGCACAGTGCACAAACGCAGACACAGGCGAAGAGAGTACAACAGCGCCAGCAGCAAGCAAGCAACATTGTGCTGGTCAAGTCAAACGCACTGTGCAGAGGACGACTGGCTCTCGCGGATGATGAATGTCCCGGTTGGTTTTCCTTCGAGCAGCGACACGGCCTCATCACGGGGCAGCCCGAGCACCAGCCACGCAGCCCGCTCGCTGGCAGAGGTGCCACGGGAGGGAGAGGGAGGTGACGAATGAGCAAACGGTTGGAGAGAAAATGTGTGTGAGTGTGTGACGAATGCAGCAACACGAACACGCCACGGGGTGCCAGCAACGCAGAGGGCAGCAAAACAAAACACACACACATATAGATACACACACACACGCGCGCACACACACACACACACACACACACGCATACACAGACTCAGACCCAGACACACACACACACATACACAGACTCAGACCCAGACACACACGCACACACAGACTCAGACCCAGACACATACACACACAGACACACAGACACAGACGCAAACACACAGACACGGACACAGATGCCCTTACCGAATGAAAGCTGGGGCAGGGGCAGTGTCTGTTTCCACGAGTGGGCAGTGCAGCTCACCAGCGTTCAGCTTGTAGTATGTCTGGGACACGTACGCGCGCGCGTGTGTATGTGTGAGGTGGGGCAATCAATGGAATAGCAAGCACAAGACGCGTGTAGAGTGGTGCTTCCCATTCATAAGTACAACAACAGCAACGACAACAACAGCGTGTGCACATACTCCTCAATCCATCCCCTGTCACGCATGCAAACAATCAAGCATGCAAGCGGCGGGGTGCACACGTACGACGAGGTCGTAGATGGTCTCGAAGATGCGATCGGGGACGCTGAGGAGATACACGCCGGAATCGCCGTCCGTCTCCGCGTTGAGCAGGCCAATCAGCTCGTGGTAGATGTGGTCGCCAAACACATAGCTCAGCGACAGGCTGTGTCGGGCGGTGGGGATGAGGGCGGGGTAGAGACGCCGTGGTGAGCGGCAGCAGTGTCCGGTGGCGATGAGAACCAGTACATCAACACACACACACACACACATACACACACACACACGCGCGCACACCAAACAAACGAGGCAGACCCAAGAGCAACAGCCAAGCAAGGAGCACGAGCCTACAATGTGGGCGCGCGTTCGCTGGACCGGACAACAAAAGCACCGTCCGGCTTGCCGGCGAGCGAGGCGAGCGCCTGCGCCTTCGTGACAGGACTCAGCTGCAGCCAGGGGAACGCTGGTGGTGTCGTGGCGACATAAACGCGATGACGAGTCGTCATGGTGGTGACAGTGGTTAAGATGGTGACAAGGACAGCAGGAGGAAGGGGTCGCGGATGTAAGGCGAACGCATTACGCGCACACACAACACAACACAACACAACACAACACAACACAACACAACACAACACAACACAACACACCACAACACGGCCTTCAGGTTTGCCTTACATCCATGTCCATAGATGGGGTCGAGTGGGGCTGGCTGGGCGGTGGTGGCGGCGGCAGGGGTGGTGTCGGGTGCAAACGTTGCCTCCTGCTGCTGCTGGGACGCTGCGGAGAGCGGGGGCTGCGCAGCCTCAATGTGGTTAAGCAGACGGCACGGGATGTCGTCAAGGTGATCCGCACTGTACGCAGCCACTGTGGTGTGTGCGTGAAAAAAAAAAGGGGGGGGGGGTTGTGTGAGTTTGTGAGGTTGTATGTGAGGTTGTAGTGAAAGTGTGAGAGCGTGCGTGTGAAAGTGAGTGTATGAGTGTGAAAGTGTGAGAGTGTGAGAGTGTGAGAGTGTGAGAGTGTGAGAGTGTGTGCGTGTGAAAAGTGTGTGTAGTTTCACACACGTGTGCGTGCATGCGTGGCGCGCTGATCGTTGCCTGGCGCATGTCCCAGTGCGTGCTGAGCACACAGCAAGCGCACGGTCAGCAAGACCACGCGCGAACCACCGACCGAGTTCGTAGAGGGACTTGAATGCGCGGGTGCTCTCCCTGAAGAATGTGATGCCCTCAGAGTCCTGGTCAATCAGGCGGTGCCGCACCTCTGCAGCCGCGGCGTTGGGCACACGGGGATGGGATGGTGGCTCGTGAGGTGCAATGGCGGACGCAAGAACAAGGCGTGCAGTGCTTACAACAAGGCAACAAGAAAGGGCAGGCGGGAAGCTCAAGCGCATACATAACGCTGCACAAACAAACACGTGTGCATCGGCACGGACAAGCACGCACTGTTGCACGTTGCTTCAACTCACGGCCATCGAAGATGTACGAGAGGGCGAATGTGGCGTTGTTGTGCTCGCACTTCCTGACGACAAATGCGCCATCGGCGAGGCCCGCGAGCACGGCCTCCGCATCCTGCCGCGTCATCAGCGGGCGGAACCACGGCGCATGCTCGTGGCGATGTGTTGCTGGAGAAGAATTGAGGGGGGGGGGATATATGTATGGAAATGGCGGTGGTGATGATGAGTTGTTGTTGTTGTTGTTGTTGTTGTTGTTGTTGTTGTTGTTGTTGTTGTTGTTGTTGTT